AGCGTGCTAAATGTGATCAAGGGAACAGCTTCGCCTGGTGTAGGCCCGGCAGAGGCAAAGCAGCAAGGGGCTGAGGCGGCCCGCCTGCCGCCGACGAACTGGCGAGTTTGGTCAAGGAGGCCTGAATGGAGGCAAGGGATGACTCCAGGCCGCTGACGCGCTGCTCCCATGGCTGTGCGGGAGTTGGCGCTCCAATACCGGGAGGGCCCTCAGCAGCAGACACAAATTGAAAACGATTATCGGCCGCAATCTGACCGTCCACGTCCGGCTGGACGGGAACGCTGGAAGAAGCAGCCAAGAAGTCGTAAAGTGGTGGCTCGGAAGCGGTGCACTCTTCAAAAGCGCTCTCGAGCTGTGAATCAAGGACCGCCAGCCAAAGCTTGACGGTCAAAACTGAATGCGGGGAAGCGCCTTCTTCAAGGACGGCGGCAACCTCCACCTGATGAGGCCTGAGAAGGGAACCTTTTGCAAGCACCCGGCCGGCAGCCCTGCGATGCCACACACTATGAGGGACGGCAACCACAAGAGAGCCCCCGTGCTCACAAACCGGAACTATAGCTAAGGTAGTCTCACCTTCAAACCCGACACAGCGAAGCTGGAGGCGAGGGCAAAAAGAGGCCACACGACCCTCGCCGTCGGCCCAAATGCAAAAGTCACGCAAGGTATCGAAGGGAGCCCCGGCGTGGGACCCTTCACGACTCATACTCGTTCAGCCAGACGAACCCAGCACTGACCAACAGTTCTTTGGCTTCCCACACACTAGGGACCCCAATGAGGACAGAACTCCCCAAGGAGGAGCCGCGCTTGCACAGAGAAGCAGCCTCAGAATAATTGCGAAAGACCTGGGGCGGCTGCAAAAGCGGCCTTCGAAATCAGCAAAGGCCAGGTAGATTCGGCTGCGCAAGTTGAGGCGAGCGCGGCCAGAAGGCTGCAAATGCTCTCCCGCCAGAGCGCGGCGTACAAAAGCGCCCAGCTCTTGAGCCAAGGCTCGTCGCCCCACAGTGTCAGTAGGATCCACCTCCCCTGAAGAGGGAGCCCTAGCGTTGCCAGCTCGCTGGCTGTCACGAGCAGTGGCACCGGCCTGAGAGCGATGGAAAGCCCCACGAGGAGCGGATGCACTAGGCTGAGCAGGCGCAGACACACTGGGCTGGGCAAAGGCCCGGGCAGCAGGGGATGCGGATGCGGAAGGCTGAGTCGAGTCAAAAGCACCAGGCACAGAACTAGGCCGAGCTTCGGAAACCGCGTCCCAGGAGCTCTCGGCTCGCTCGAGGGCCGCCACACAATCCTCCAGGAAGGATACACGCTCAGAGAGCTGAGCCACGAGCAGCTGAAGGGCGTCCACAGTCCTTGCGAGGGCAGGGGCACTACTCATCTAAGGCCTTAAACCAACCTAAGGGTCTACGGCTCCTAAAACCCTTTTCCCTAAGGTAAATCGTAAGGCTGAGTCGTGCCAAGAACAGAAAGTCCAACAAAGTGAGCAAGATAAGGCCGGCCAAAAGCCCAAGGCAGAAGGAAGGCCAGTCGACCCGGAAAGCAGGTGGCTCAAAGTCCAGAGGGCCGGAAGGAACCACGGATGCAGTCTGAGAGACCTGACGAAGTACCTCAAAGGCCAACGCACCGACACCACCAGACGCAACGGAGACACCTGCTGGCTGCAAGCTCATGGACCAAAATTGCTTCAGGATTGAAAATTGCACATGATGAACAAACTGATGGAAGATGATGTATCATGACAATGAAATTGACGAAAACGATAGTGACATTTAACGCGCAGGCTTCATCCTGTTTCACATATTTCTTGTGCAGGCACTTTCGTGGTTCACTTTGCCGACGAAGACTGCGGTCCCATAAGATGAAAACGATGAAAGATAACAAAGAAGTTATGAAATTCAAATCAAGCATGGATGGCATTAAAAAAGGCGCACCCCCTATCTGCAAACAAAATGATTTGCATAAAGCGCTTTTACTTATGACATGCTGTTTTTTGTTATAGCAAGTTTGGATGGCCGCACAAAAAGATGGGGTGTTGGGATCATGGGAAGTATTGAGATGATTTCAAAAACCATGACAATGGCAAGCATGCCTGGCCCCCCCCGCTTCGCAAACAAAATGATCTGCATAACCCTCCCTTACTAATAAAATGTTTTTTCAGCAAGGGCATCAAAAGAAAGGAGGGCTGGAGGAGGAGGGGCAGCCCCCCTTACTTGCAAACAACATGACCCGCATAATCTTCCCTGACTGCAAACACAGCCACGACACTCTTTTATGATGGAAACTGCTGGAAATGATGGAGATGATGAAAGTTGGCGAATTGGATGAGACGTGATAATGTATTAAAAAGCACATGGAAATTGCTGAAAGATGATCATAGATGATGAAACATGACGCAACATCATGGAGCGTCATGACACAATGTAAAATGACAAACAATGGCAAGCATGACTGGGCTTAACATACGCGGGAGGGTTGGGGGCGGCGCAGCACCCTCCATCTGCAAGCAAAATGATCTGCATAACACTTCTTCACTCTACTACTACTACTACTTCTTCTTCTTCTTCGATGCGCGATTGCTTCGGTGCAACCTAGCGAGCCTCAAAAATGACTTGGTCATGAGGCGAGTGAGCCGCCACTTGTGGCCTGCACTCACTACGCAACCCGGGCCTGAGCCCCTGCAGTCGCGAAAACTACTACTACTACTACTACTACTACTACTAGATGAGGCCTACTACTACTAAACTAGCCGCCGCCCCCCCCCCTACCAACTATGTTCCCTTAAATGTCAGGGGTGGGCTGTCAATAGTCTAAGCGGAATAGGGTAGTGGTGGAACGTGCCTCACCCACGCAAAATCATCAAAAATGCTGTCAATGCCAATAGTTTTTGCATGTGCGCTCTTCGAGTTGACGTCACTCTGTCACCACCCACCCGCCCTCCCCACCGACCCACCCTCCCCACCCTACCCCATCCCCACGCATTAGAAAAGTACAAAGCCTTTTGGCATTCCACGAAAGACAGTATGTCCCCTGCTTTTACTTGGTTTCAACATCCCCAATCTGGGAAACATAGTTGGTAGGGAGGGGCGGCGCCTACTACTATTATTATTACTACTACTACAGCCGCCGAGCCGCCACGAGAACCAGAAAACGCAGAAGCCAGGAAGCCGAAAGGCCAGAAAGCCAAGAATCCACAAAAAAAATGCAAAAAAATACAATACACTCTTCAAAAAAAATGGACCCACCTTCCTGAAAATAGTGTGTCCTTCATTCCTGCGGCGTATTCCTGCTTTCTTGATTTCTTCCCCTGTCTGATGCACCTGCCTCTCCATTCTCTTTTCCATTTGTTCTGTCCTTATGTCTTTCCTCTTAATTATCCTGCGCTCCTCATTCCTTACTTAATTCATGCCTACTTTTGGAGGAGCTGGCATGCTGTACTTGGCAGTACTCGCAGGTTGTGAACAGCTCCAGACCCCAGATACTAAGGTCACTGGTATATGCAGCTGTGCTTGTATTTGTTTGGTTTTGTATTTTTCAGGTGAGCAGGACGTGCATATTACGTTCTCTTGCATATTTTCAGCAAAATATGACAAGTCTACAAGACTGAACGACAATAGCAACTTATGACAAGCTTGACCTACGTTGCCAAGATATGCCAGGATCGACCAAACAAATATGACCCAGCCATGCTAGGATGTCACATGCACGTTTCCTGGGATTCGCACTCGTAAAGCTGCTCTTCCAACTTGAAGACGAACGAATTGAAGAACTGCTGCAGCCTGATTAAGAAGTCGCTTCAAGATTGACATGGGGTCAAGGAGCTGTTGGCAGATTGCTTGCAGACATCAATATCGAAGCTGCAAAGAAGCGCTGGGACTCTACAAATGTTGATCGCGCCTTTCGTTGGTAAAATTGATGCACAACCTGCTGCATGTACGCTACAATCTGATCTGGTTAGTGCAACAGGTTCACCAAGGCTCGTTCTGTTCAAACGAGTTCATCTTGAAGCATTCGAACCCGAAAATGTCAAGGACTCCTTCCGTTCAAACTCGGACTTGTCAGTATGCAGCAGCTTTTGGCTAGGTAAAAGCCAATCCAGTCCTACGAACAGCTTCACGTCATTTATGTAGCCGATGGAAAGATTTGTGCTGTGGACCTCAAGGCTACATCGTTACACAAAAGCAGTCAACATGTACAGGCATCCCTGGCATGCTGAGCTGAGCACAATGAAATTGAAGACGATTCCATACAAGGCCTTCGCCAGAGCATCACGATTGTCTGCCGCCTCCGTTGCACTGCGTCACTTGTCGGGCACTGCAGCTTTAGAACAACCACCACCAGCAAAAAGAAGTGAAGTGAGTGAAATTTTGTGAAATGTAGGCTTGTCGGGCCTGCCGAACATTGACAGGGCTGCGGATCTTCTCTGATCGCGTGATGCGCGTCTGGTGGCAGAGCGCCTTTTCCAAATCCTGCGAAGCTAAGCTTAAGCCGGAGCGCAGGTAGGGCCCAGGTAGAGCCAGGCTTGACTGAAGAAGCCAAACCACAACATGGGCTCAGTGTGTATGCTTTGCGTTCCTTATGTTGCATGTTTTGTTTCTGTCACTTGTTCGGACATGTCGGACTGGGCGTCGCATCTTTCACGCTTCACAGTTCTCGAACACATTGCTCCTTTGACCCAGCAGCTAGGCCCTTCTTTGCGATTAGTTAAAGCTTTTGTGCATGTTTCGGCGTTTTGCCATTATCGCCTGCTGCTTGCAGAGCTGCGCAGGCGCGGAAAGCATGTCAGCTACCGGGCTCAGAAACCACACGGAACAAAAATGTTTGGAGGTTGGCAGGCGGGGATTGGAGGCAACTGGGAAGCTGCCTTTGACAATCTACTTGGGGGATGCGCAGATTTGTCATCAATGCTCCCAGCAGGTCGATCCCAACTGTTTGCTCACTGCACTGAACAACCAGACAGCGAATATCAACGAACATGAGCTGTTCAGTAGAATTGCAGGAATCAACTCAGTCCCCAGTCTGGATGCCAAGCAGTTTCTCGGCGGCAGCCAAGCTGCTCGCGCACTCCTCAGTCACTCAGTGCAGTGGGATTTGCTTGGCTTGACTTCAGCTGGAAGCCAGAGCGCATCTCGCAGACCCCATGGTCTTGTGTGATAAACGCACAGCGGCAAACAAATCACACCGAACCATAAACAACAGGCCACCGCAGCCTATGCGAAAACAAACGGAAGCTCCATGACATACAACGGCTGGGCCAGCAGCTGCCATGATCATAGAGCCCTCGCTGTTGTTCGGAGGAGCCTTCTTGAATTGGAATGCTACAAGTCTCGCGACGTTGCCCAGGGAACAAGCACTGACGCTGACGTGGCGAGGGCTCAATCCTACAATCCTGGTTGCTGCCTAAGGCCTAAGGTTCCGACAGCAACTTCACTCGCCATGTTGGCAGGTCCCAGCCGAGTGCGCAGCGCAGTAGCAGCTCAAATATCACGAGGAACGCTGCAAAGAGTGTGAAATCTGTCCACACCCATGATGGCGCTCAGACTGCATCGTCCGGCTGGCTTGCACAGCTCTTGAGTCTCTGCTCGCAACAGCATCTTCGCCAGCCGTGTACCGGTGCCTTCATATCGCCAAAGTCCCACGGACCGAATGTTACTTGGACGTCTATGTGACACGTAGGCTGCTGGAAGTCATGCCCTACAGCTGTTCGAGCTCCAACACACCTACAGCATCCCATTCACTCAAGTATTCGGCTATTTTCAATGCTTCAAGACTACGAGCGGCACGATGCAGAAAATCCAAGACAAGGTATATTGATTTTTTTGACAGAAAAGTATTGCAGTTCAATTTCAATAGGCTTACACACTGTAAACGCCGCATTGCGAAGCCCGAATACTGTTATCAGCTCGATTCGGAGGTTTTCAGATGCGCAAACATGCATAGCAGAACCTGGAGGTGATAGCAATAAACAAAAAAGGAGCCAGAACACCTTTAGATATATCAACAAGACATGTAACAAGATGGAAAACAGCAACGAAAGTAGCACAAATATGAACAGCAATTGATCAGTAATGCCAGCAAAAATTGTAAGAAGAGCAATAGCAACAAAAAAACAAAGAGGAAGAAGAAGTAGTACTACTACTTCTACTGGTTGCAACATAAAAAAATCACAAGAACAGCAATAGAATTGATGACCCTACTTTTGAACGAGTCGTAATGAGAAATGATAGTGATATAGTAATCTGAGAATAATGCATATGTTTTCGTGCCTTTGCAGCACAAAAACCTGGAGCAGCCTCTGCATCGCAGAGGAATGGCACGCAAGACAACTCTTTTCAGCTGCAGAACATGGATGAAGCTGAGCAAACGTGGCCTTGCGCTGAGTATACGTAGGATTTAGTAGGCATTGCATTGACCTTACCAACAGCAGGGGTTGGGGAATGCAGCACTCTCCCCGTGACGGTAATGGTCGTAATAGTAGCATCGGATTAAATACTTTTAGATGATGACAGCTAAAAGGACGACAAGACTATTAACAATGACAGTGATGACAATGAGAAGGAAAACAAAGACAGTAGTAGCAATCTTGCTAATAACCACAATGACAACCGTAGTCATAGTTTAACAAGTACTGATACACAAGCAGCAGCATCAACAATAGTAAGGTTGGAGATACTGGTAATAACGAGAGTGCAGTGACATCAGTAGTGATAACGTTAACAATAACAATGATAACAATAATGACTGTTATAGTAATGGCAGTAAGAATAGCAAGAACAAAGGCAATAGTAGCAATAATAACAGGAATAGCTAATGGTAGTAACAATAGCAAAAGATGACATTAATACCGATACAAAAACAGAACAACAATAACAAGCAACGTCGTAATACTCGGAATCAAATATACCAGACTACAACTAATAGTACTAGCAATGCCAAGAACAATAAGAATAGTACTTCAATGAAGAACATGAAAACAATTTTGTTGTAGTACATCCTTCCTTCCTGCTTCCTTCCTTCCTCCCTTCCTTCCTTGCTTCCTTCCTTCCGTCTTCCTTGTCTCCTTCGAAGGGGATCCCGTGAAAGAGTTTGGACGCTCCACGAGATAGCTGAATTGGGCATCAAAATTCGACGGCGCTACATGCGAGAGCTCAATTTCTAGCTAGAATGCGAGGAGGCTTCACTCCACACGGGAGAAAACTCGAGGATGCTCCAAGCAAGAGCTGAATTTCTCCGGCTAGCGTTGTTTGATCCTTGTTCAATTCTGTTGCTCCTCGCTTCATTTTTTCGTCGTCCTAAGGTAATCTCTTTTGTGTTTCATCCCTTTGACAGTAGGCGAACATTGTCCTCAGGCTCCGGCATCGAACTTGGAGTTGCCAAGGTTGAGCACAGCCGCGATCATGTGCAGAATCTGCCAGTATTACATGACGACGACATCCCCAGAGTATCGACAAAACGCCAACAGCGACTAAAAGAAAGCCTCCCAAACAGAAGCTAAGGCCAGTATGAAAGACAGCCTCCAAAGCAGAAGCTAAGGCTAGTAGATAGGTTGAGGGCTCAATGTTCAATGTTACTTAGGTCGCTGTGGCCACCCCATTCCCCAAAACAAGGATCGTGTCAATATCATATGCCTACTAGAGCATCCTCCTGATGATCGCAGAGCCTGCGGTTGCACAAAAACCTCTGATCAAAGGCAGTACCCTCCCCAAAGTAACATGGAACCTGACAGGTGAACCTATATAGACGACGAAAGTCCCCCTTAAGTGGATGGAATATGGGGTATAAGGGTGATCTTATTAGAATGTCCCCAACGCCATATTCCATCTGTTTAAGGGGGGCTCTATATACAGAGAAATATCCTTTTACAGCGATTAGTCCCAAAGCTCTTGCACATTCCCACCCTGCAGTCACATTTGCACACACGGCCACCTACAATTATCTCTGACGCCTCCGTAAGATCCTCCTTCTTGATGCCGATGGTCTGCATGGCATGAATACGCCGCTCGAACATCTCCACGTCATCAACGTCCTGAAATTTCAGTTGCGAATTGTTCAAACCACCGCGGGGCAGGAATGAATTCACGAATTTTGGCATCGACGTGCTTGTTGCAGGTTCTTGAGCCCTTTGCAACAGCCTGACACATTATCAAGCCTCAGCCCACAGAGCCTTTCTTACAAAATCAGCCGAGGACCCGGGCACCCTTCCCCCCACTCCCGTGGGACTGGCTAGAAAGCCTGGGGGTCCCCCCCCACCCCCTCCCCCCCCTCCACATCCGGCTTCTTGCCGCCCCCTCCCTCACAGCTGCCCTGTCACGACTTGCCCTGCTTCTGCATGCTGTCCGTCCTCCCCGCCGCCGACCGCTGCTCGAGCCGGCCGAGGCGGAGCGCGGTGGCGTTAATATTAGCGCTAACCACAAGCCACATGTTCGAATGCCACTATTCAGACAAAGGATTCAGGATCCAAATTCTGGTGATCCATGAAATTGTGTCAGCGCAAGATCTCTCGAACAGGTAGGCTTCCATTACGAGGCGTTGTATGGATTATGATTCTAGCCCGCATCATGTCTAAAAAAAGCAAACGAAAGCGATCTGGGCAAGCTGGTTAAGCACCCTTTGGGTACCGGGCCTCGGGGAGCTGCTAAGCGATAAGTTTAGGGGTGGGAGGATTCTTCGACCCCGCTTCTACTTTTTTCCGGGGGAGTGGATCCCACCGAGGTCTCAGAGCTTTCGGAAATATCCGAAGTGCCGAGCACAGGTGCATGTTGTACTCCTTCCACAGCAGCATCTGCTTAGATTCGGTTTCAAGCCTGACTACGAATCTTCATGGGCAAGTGTCTCAGGATTGTGTGCTGGACGAGGCAAACCCTGAGCAGAAACGATTTAAGAAAGTTGAAAGCTTGAGCGTGATGAGCGTGCTCCGCATGTATCAGCGGCCAGGCTGTCCCTAAGTCGTTTGATAGGCTCCACAAGAGTTTACGGTAGGAACTGCAAATCCTCAAAAACAATAGCGTGGAAAAAACAGTGCAGGAACTGAAAAGCTTCAATAGAGCAGTTGGAATTGTGTTGGAACCGGTCTGCCCCTTTAGCAGGGCGACGTAGTTGCATGACTAGTGGCAAGCACACGAAAGAAACCAAAGGCCTGTTGCCACCGTCATGTTTGGCAGTGATCTTGTCGAATTGACGGCCGGTGAAACTTCCAAACCAAAGGCGGCACAGCAGCAAAGAGCCCGGGATTGCACCTGCACACTGAACAGCCTGTTGGCGAACGACGTGATACGACGTGTTACGACGTGTTCACCCCCGTGTACACTCCTTGCTTTCCCTTGTTTGGGGTTGAAAAGGTTGCCCAGACTGCATAGAGGTCGGTGGGCGCAATTTGAAACAGGAACCTTGTCAGTATCGAGAAAGTTCTGGATCAAGTTCATGAATACTTGAAGAACCTATGTTCAAAAGAAGTCAGCATATCCATCAAGATCGTTCCCGACACTTCTACGCTTCCCATCTTGCAACATGGCTTTCATTGTGAATCACTGCCGTCGCAGAAGTCCCGTCTGCTGGTCATTGCTGGTCTATTTCTAGTTTCCACCCCCCCCAAAAAAGAAATATATTCCCGTGTGTAGCTCCGAAGGGTGAAAAGCAAAACGCCTGTCTCCCAACGGAAAATAACCAAACAAAGACATGTGCAGCCTGGAGGCATCTTGCACTAAATGCCAAGATGCTACAGGGCGTGAGCCAACATGCATTTCATGGATGGCCGGCATTTAGCGAGTCAAGGCGGCTGGAGCATTCCGGAATCGCGCCGTGTTCTGATGCAGCAGGCCAGGAAGTGAGGTTTTTGGCTCACATGCAGCAACGGAATCTCTTGTCGGAGCCTTCAAACTTCAAACTCCCGGAAGTGCTGCACCTTCTACTTTTTGTGGTTCTCTGGTTAATGATGAGCGCTAGGGTTTAGCGGAGTCTTCAGAAATTCATGAACCCGATCTTTGCACAGAATGCGAGCTCCAGAAGAAAAGTGTGTGTTTTCCTTTTGGTGTTCCAGAAAAATTGTCTGTACTGCTACTACATATCCCACATACCGGCTCACGGCACTGAATCTTAGCCCCCGTGCGGATTTAGGAAACCCCTTCTCAAGTCAACATGATTTGCCAGTGTTCAGTTCTGCGGGTGCGGGGGTGCCCCCGACCTGGCTCTTATAGAGAACATTGTCTGGGGGACCATGAGCCCCGCCATGAACATGCTGGAGCGTACACTGGCTGCAAGGAGAAAAATACCTCCGTCGCAACCACAAAAAGGGGAAAATTGAGTTGCATCGCCTTGAATGCCTTGAACATGATTCAGCTGAAGATGGCATTTTTCCCTGCACGCCCCGTTTTGCATCTTCGACAGCAAATGATAAGCCCAGGCAATCTGCACAGAACTTGCTGCCGGGCTGGTACCTTTGATCTGTGACTCTAGCGTTGATTTGATTTGCATTGACAAAGCTTCAGCATCCTTACGAAGCACAAGTACCTTGTGGTGATTTTTCTCATACTCATCCACAGTGGGCTTACATGGCATGTCTGCAGTACTTTGCGGGGTCCTTCAGCGTCTTGCAGCTTGACCGCGTTAGAAACGCAAACTTCGAGAGCTCAGCAAATCCTAGCCAGAGGCCACGAGTGCCCCGCACAAACTGATATCTGAAGGGCCGGCACCGTCCAAATCAATATCCATCTCTTCTTTGACCTGGAAATGACGCTGAGGCGCAGGTTGTGTGCTTTGCATTCTAGGCAATGTCTGCCATCCCGCTACCACTGCTAAGCATGCGTAAGAGACTGAGAGCTCCGCCCTGTCCTTGGACAAGATTTGTGGATATCTGTAAACCTGCCATGCCGTTCATCAGTTCATTGCCGCAACAATGTCATTGCGCGAGCGTCCTTCTCACTGCCAATTTTTGCAGCAGCTGCACCTCATTGAGCAAAGCACTACCTGCAAGATCAGACACGACCGCCATCAAGGTCAGCGCAGGCTTCGTAGAAAATGTGATAGTTGCGCTCTCCTTCCTGCGGGCGCAAGTGTTAGAGGCCCTGTCCAGATGAGAAAATGAATTGCTGACGGAAAGCATAAACAGCTTGAGACGGCCTGCTGCTCGCATACTCGGACTTTCTCAAGTAGATAATGCCGGATTCGTGCACCTTTAGCGGCGCTGCTGTCGCTGCTGCTAAGGGCTACTCACATACTTAAAAAAGATCATCAACCAACTCTCTGCAGTACTCACTTTTTCGGCCAAGCTTGCGACCGCACAGTCGCAGGCTTTCGCCTGACATTCCTTGCACCGCCTCATCAGAACCGACTCTGGCGCAGAATTGGCTGCACACAGCTAGAAAACGAAACAGAGGATCTGTGTGTTTAGGTGCCACGCACCCTTCACACCACTATCCTGCGACGGCCGAAACCTGAGCTGCTCCAAAAATCAAAACAGGCAGGAAAATTGACACGATTTGAAGCAACGCCTTTCATGACGTGCCGCACGAGTCTGAGTCCTAGAACCTAGAGTCCGGAACCATCCGGAACCAAGGGTACCGGCGAGGACCCCTCAACAGCACGAGCGTGAAACAGGTTTTCCCCGCACAGCCCTAGCCTGCTATTGAACGAACCTGCCCAAAGCCCTACCCTATCGTGCGCTCAACCCAACACCCCACCTGAGGCACAGCTGCCAAGAGGCACGCCTCTGACCCGGTGCGACACCGCCATGACAGAAGTCTTAAAACTTAAATCCTGCCTCGCTTACCCGGAGCACTGTCATGCCGAACGCAGATGCTCCCAACCCCGACCCTAAACACACACAAGCCATACCAAAGCGAACTCTCAGAGCTCAAAAACTGAAAACACTGCCTCCGAAATCAAGCCTAAATCCTTAAAGCCTGAAACCCTGAAGCTAAGAACCCTGAGCCCGAAAAACAACAAGCGCTGACCGGACCCTATTTGGCGCCTGCCTTAGACCAACCAGCTCGCCGCAAGTCAACCGTACTCTAAAGCACATGGTTGGCACCCGACCGAAAACATGAAGCCAACCGAACACATCTTCGAAACCTTACCTGATCTGATATGATCACTCCTCCTCGCCTTTTGCCCACGGTCGCATTTCAATCTTTGGGCTGCAGGCATGAGACGAAACATTAGGGTTATCTTTGTTATAATATGCCATAGTCTTTCCAAGCGACCATAGGATGCCCCAACAAACCGCATTTAGTACTCGACATGTGAACAATCGCGAGAACAGACAAAATGGGCAAGAACAACAACTAAATACTAGCTGAGTTCCAGGCTGAAGCTCGATAAATTTGCCAAATCGACTTGAATTGTCGTTCCTCAGCGTTCTGGCCTTAGTGACTGCGCTTTAACCTGGTCAAATCTAGACCCCGATAAACCGCGAGAAACCCCAATCCCAGTGGTCCAAGCGCTGCTCATTGCCGAAAGCTTCCAGGAGAGGGTTCGATTCCAACACCTGGCTTGCCGCGCTTGAGCTTCCCTGCCGAGCAAGCGCTGCATGACCAGCCTGCTTTTCTACGTCAGTCACCTGTCCGAATTTCTGCTGGGCGAAGGTCATTCAACTTTCCCAATCACTGAACATTGAACTGCAACCTCATAGCAAGCGCCTTTCCATCTGCCGATCCTGCAAGAGCAAGAAACTTCATCACAAACCTGAGGGCTCAGAGCAATGTCAGGACTTCGAGGCTTAAGTGTGTGCATTTCTTCTCTGTGTTCCGTGCTTTGTGGTCTCAGTTTTGCCGGCACCCGACTCTCCACTGATGAGCACCGTCCTAGGCTACGCGTATCATGCTACAGCATCGTGTGGAACATGAGGCGCCGCAGTGGTGAGGAAATTTTGCAGGAACATGCGTCAACTGCAAGCTGTGCTTAGCACCGGCTCTAATAAGAGCAAGGCTGAGACTTGTGGCGATCACAAATCCCACGATACGACGCGTTGGATGTGTTGAAGACATGCGGCCTACAAATCAAACCGAAATTTCTTGAGAGCTGGTAACTCATGTTCACGCAACATGCTGCCTCGTCGATGGCTTTGTTGTGATGAAGCTCTTCAAGATCTGGGCAGGTGAAGGGTGCACGGATGCATGTTGCAACACTGGCACTTGACGACCTCCTCATCGTACAGGCCCGGGACGGCCTTGAATGGATTCAATGCCTCGTAGCACACTTTATTGCATGCAATCTGACCGACCACACCGTGGCAAGGTTGAGCGACGAACGATGAGGATAGGTCCAGTGAACGTATAAATTTTGTCGATGTCGAACCGATTCCTGCGTCCGCTCATCTTGAACATACACAGTTACACCAGGCAACACGTCCGAGCTTCAAACTGAAGTGAGCTGAGCACCGCTGGTTCGTGCAGGTGAGTCAACCTAACAAGCATTTGGCCCCAATACAACGGAACTGCCTTGCCAAAGATGATTCATGTTGCATGGGCTGCTTGGGCGGCCACTGTGTCAGGTCATCCAACACCGACAAGCCTTCTGACGTGAAAACGTCAGATGTCCTGCAGAACTGCACGTGTTGCTGAAGGCTGACCGAAAATGAACGCCAACAACTCCTCAGGAAAATGGGTTCGTTTGGTCCCAACACCAGTCGACCGTTTGGATCTTCAGCTGTCTTGACAATGATTTCCTGCTTCTCATCATGCATCGTGCTGCTGGCACGGCACTGGCAAAACTTGAATTGCCTTCTCGTTTGACGTGACAATTTCGGCCTCCACCACAAATATTGGCATAATGACGAAAAGATCTTGACGTAATGATGTGTGGGAAATGTCTTGGAACACTCACGTTCAGACCTGGATCCAAACTTCCTCCTCGTGCTTCACCTGTAGCGGAAAAGCTTGCACCTATGACATCTGTGTACGGAAGCATCATCAGGGGCAGGCCCATATCAAGGTTCCCTGCGCGTACTGGTTCGACATGGAAGTCGAGGTCACCAGCGATCCTAGTGCCCAAAAGGATGCCGGAAGCCCTTGCGAGATTGCACAATATGGCAATGCGAGGATGTTTAAGGTTGGGGCAGTGCGCGAGCATGGCATATGAGCACCAAACACCCAGCTACGGACGGCTTGCCAAAACGCTGGTCCGTTCATGCCAGCTATATCAGGTATGCAACTTGCCTTTTTGGCCGCCAACGCTTTGCGCAGCAAACCCCCTTTGCAAGGGATCAACTCCATGCACAATGATTGCATCACCGAATCAAAAAATTGTTCTATCAGGCACACCCATGTGTTTGCTGCCTCCTCGAAAGACCCACCGCAAGAACGCAACACCCCAGAACATAGGCCGGCAGCTACATTGGCCGCGCTCGCGTCGTTCGCTGGCCTGCGCGCGTGCGCCAACACGTCGCTAGAGCTTCTTGCCGTGCCAATCGTCATCTCCGATGGGCACAAGGGTGACGGTGGGGACTTCTTGGCAAGGGCCGTGGCCGATGAGCCTGTGGCTTAGAGTGAAGGGCCCGCTGGTGGGCCGGAGTGTAGGTGGCCGGCCAACGGACCCCAAAACCAGGCACTGCCCACATGTGCCACGAAGCTGGCGCCAATCCGGCAGCACGGCTAGGCAACATGCCTGCGTAACACTCTGGCTTCCCAATTTCGAATTTCGAGGTCCTGAAACAAGCCCCTCATAAATTTTACGCCGCAGCTCTGATGTGCAGGCAGCCAAAGAGAAGGTCCAGACACGGCAGCTGATACATTTATGTTGCCCGGTTTGACGGACGGACGGGACAACGTAATTGCCTGTTTTGTGAAGGGCATTGGCTCGCCGCTGGCCAGACAATCATTTTTTTTCACGCACCTCTTTGCGTCTGCGTCATCAATGGCAGTCGGGTGCGAACTTGGAATGCTGCAGCCCGGCCCAGCCTGCTCAGCAGGGCCCTAACCTGCTTGCAGATCTTGCAGGGACGGGGAGCTGCCAGCGCACGTCAGCGAGGACTTCGTGCAGCTCGGGCGCTTCCCTTCCGACGTTGCACTCCCCGGCGAGAGGGAGCTCCAGGAGTGAGGCGGCGAAGGCGCTGTGTGCCGCGACCGCAAGAAGGCCGGACCACCGAGCTACCCATGCGGACCGTGCAGCGGACTGCATAGCTGCGGGGGCCGCAGATGCACGGTGGCGCGCAAGCAAGCGTAGCCACGTGGCAGCTTCAGTACTGAACCGGCCTCCGACTTCGACACCAGCGACCACCAAGCGACAGCGACGGGCGCGCACAAGCTCGGGG